TTTTTTCTTCAAACTTCCGCAAATTTATCCAAAACACAAGGTTTTTAAGCTTACTTAAATTAAACACCATTGTCAAGCAGAGTTGGACTGGGTCACTGGGTCAACTGGGTCACCTGGGTCACTGAATTAAACTGGGTCGCTGGGTCACGTCATATTCTCTTCAGTTAGACCCAGTGACCCAGTTTGACCCAGTGACCCAGTTTGACCCAGTGACCCAGTTTGACCCAGTGACCCGGTTTGACCCAGTGACCCGGTTTGACCCAGTGGCCCAGTTTGACCCAGCGACCCAATTTGGTCCAGTAATTCTTAATGATTTTTGATAGTGAACTAATGATAATTATATAAATCCACCATTACCTACATGTCAGTTCGTAATTTTGAAAAAGAAAGATTTCTCGATAAGAAAGAAGTAAGTTAATTAAATCACTAAAAAGATACTTAGTGTAAATTAGTTCGTTTTAGAATGCAATGCACGCCGCCCGAAATTACCGTCGAGGCGAATGAAGCAGTATCGTGCCTCGGACCATCGAAATCCGGTGAAAAGTATATATTTAGCTGCATATCAACACTTTATTCAATGGTGTAATGTAAAGAACGACAATGTGGTTATTCCATGATCAAATCCGAATTAATTATTAAGCATGGAATAAATGTCAATATATTTAAAGTTGCGATGCTTTTTTGAAAAAGACAAATGAAGGGCATTCTGCAAAAAAGTCCAGAATATTTACTAAAGAGCAGTTTCAAGGTTTTCTAATGGATGCACCAGATGATGTATATTTAGGAATAAAGGTGAATTTAAATCAGTTTTAATTTTGTGCCCTCCCAATATAATATTATGATTCAGATTGTTTTATTAATCGAAGCAACCAGGCCATACAGATGCGACGAAATGATGAAAATGAATATAGACGTTTGAAGAAAATAAGTCTATTGTTTACCAAGGATGAGAAGTAAGTTTTCGCTGAAAAGTCGGAAGGTTTACGTACCGAGTACGGAAATTCCGACGTGTCAGCGGATCTCACTCCTCCGTGGTAAACATTAAATTGTTGTTTATTATTATGCTGGAATTTCTCGTATATAAACGGCTAAACACAGGTGAAATTTTGAAGTTGTCCAGTGATAACACCTCCAGTGCTTTAGTGCGACGTCCCACGTGACAGATAGGAACTGCGGGTCGTTGCCGGATATGATGGCTGGAGGGAACCCGTATCATCCGAAAACTTCTCGCTCCGGTAAATTTACCAGTGTGTCAGTGGTGGTGAAACGTCGAGCGAAAGCTTCCACCCACATACTGTAGAGATCCGATACTACCAGGATGAATTGGTTCCCCATTGTGGATTCGACGTTAGGGCCCATAATATCGACCGATTTTACTTCCCAAGGTTTGCTTGGCTCTCGGCGGACGGTGGCTTCCTGTATCCCTCAGCGTTTTGTTGCTGTGCAAGCCTAGCATCATCGCACGTAATCCCGCATGTGGTTGCCTATCTTCGGCCAGTGATTTTGAGTGAGGTTTGTTTGCTCGGCGTCCGGGTGTCCCGCGGTCGCTGCGTCGTGGTAAGTTTCCATGACGTCCTCATACATTTCCTGTGGCACGACCAGAAGTGCGCCTTCGGGGCTTCGTCGATGAAGGTGGTTGTTCCGTACAACGTACTGTTGTTGTAATCGTACCTGTGCGGGAGTTGCAGGACCTTCCTGACAAAATCGCTACCACGCGTTCAGCAGCTGTTGGACCTGTGGGTTTTCGTTCTGGATTTCCTTCATGCGATCGGAACGGTACGGTGATGATGGGCTGATCTCTCTATCAGTCGTCTTGTTGTCGCTGACGTCGGTGCTACTATTCTATCTGTATCTTCTGGCGTATATTCTTCGGACACGGTGTCGGAGGCATTGCGAGAAAGGTGGTCGGGCAGCTCTTTCATTTCTCCACGGAGACTGTACCACTCCTGTAGTTTGAGTACCCATCGAGTCAATTTACTGCGCTCGTCCTTCGTTCTGTAAAGTCATAGAAGTGCTAGACTGTTTGTTTTAGGCGGTCGTACAGGTACGGTCGGAAAAATTTGACCGCCCAGACTACGGCGAGGCACTCTTGCTTGTTGACGTGGTATTTGCTTTGTGCAGGGTTCAGCTTTGCACAGGCATATCCAACGATGTCTTTCTGTCTAGGGGTGGGTTCTTGATATAGGATATCGGCGACACCCTTACTGCTGGAGTCGGTCTGTAGTATGAACAGTTGTTCAAAGTTAGGACGGCTTAGCTGGAGGGTGATAGCGTGTACATAGGAAGCCACGAAGCTATTTCCGAGATTTAGACTTTTCTACCACCCGGATTACCTTCCCTCGAGATTTGTTCCTGTCAGAATAAATGACATGCCCGAGATATTAGATGGTCCGTATCCCCAAACGGCAATTTTTCCAGAGTTGCCCGAAGTCGGTGTTGCTGCAGTTTCTATATTGTTAGGCGCAGATGGCGGATGTGGTCCCCCCAATTTTCGTAATAGATAACGATATCGTATAGGTCTCTTGTCATTAATTTTTGGAAGGCGATAGGCAAACTGTATTCTGATGTGCTCGTCTCGATGATTCATGTCGCCAGCATTGTTTCGGCTTCCTCGGTTATTATTCTTTTTCTTTGGCGAGTAATGGTACGGATCGACTCGGAATGGGATGACCCGGCATTATGGCTCAATGGTAGAGCGTTGTCGGGTCGGGTGTTCGAACCTGGGTTGAGGTAAATTTTTCATCTGTGGCAGAGATGGAAATTACCTTAGACCAGTTTCGAGCATTCTGCCGGCTACTCCGAATTAGGTTTTCCTGCAGTTTTCCTAATTCGTAAGGTAAATACCGGAGTACTACAGAACAACGTAAGACCTTCTGCAGAGGCACCTCTAAAAAGCATTATGCGGGTCACTCTGTAATTGGGCGCAAGCCTGTTGAGGGCCCAGAACAAGAGAGGGATAATAAATAAATAAATAAATAAATAAATAAATAAATAAATAAATAAATAAATAAATAAATAAATAAATAAATAAATAAATAATTAAATAAATAAATAAATAAATAAATAAATAAATAAATAAATAAATAAATAAATAAATAAATAAATAAATAAATAAATCAATAAATCAATAAATGAATAAATAAATAAAAGTAGATTAGTTGCTACACCTGGTGAGGCTGCAATTCGTGGTCTACGCCGTTGGCGGTGATTACGTTTTGTTGTTTGGGGTAGATTTTTGGAGCTAGTGTTTGGCGTTGCCTCGTTCCCCAATGCATGCAGCCTCTTTTGAAATCTAGCACGGTTTGATATTTACGGAGTCATGGTTGTCCCTGTGTGATGGGAGATACGAGGGCGGATGCTATCATGAAAATGTCTTCTTCCCTCTGGTTGCTGAGAGAGTACCTGATGCTGGAAGATCCAATGCTGTTCAGGCTGTGATGCGGATCTGCCACTTTGGAGGTGGTGTTGATGATGCCGGCGTGGCCCTCGGATGAAATGGTGTGTAGACTTCGAGTCGAGTAGGGCCTGTAGTTCGGAGCCGGCCACAGCAACCAAAGGGTTGATAAGTCGGCGTTGGGTCCGGAGCGGATTGATTGACGAGTACTGAGCAGTCCCGATTTAAATGATATTCCGGACAGAACACTGTGCATCAACTTGTTATCCATTTCCTTATTATGTGTCTCGATGCTGCTAACACATTTTTTTTCTAGTTTGAGCAGCGTTCGCTTGGCTCGCTAGGCAAACCCTGGTATAACTTTTTATGGTTTCTTTGGCGACGAAGAATTCGCCCTTAGCAAACATTTAATGAAGTCGTACTCGAGAATATTCCCCAAGAGACCCCACTAAAGAATATTTAATTAATGGCTTAGCAGGGCAAGAAGAATAGTGGAAAACGCGTTCAGAATCTCATCAGTATTTACATAGAGTTTTCAGAAAGTCATTATTGTTAGAACCAGGGAAGGCAAAAGTCTTTGCTATGACGATTGCCCATACAAAAACTTTGGGACTGTGAATTGGTCGTTCATGTTTCCCTCTTGGATTTTCGTTGGTCCAGTAGCGGCAGTTCTGTTTTTTGACGCACTGAGACAATTACGGTAATAGGCGCATATGCAAAAAGCACAATGGTCTCCCGGTTACGATTCCATTGTTACTAAAACTCCAAAGAGTACCGCTACAGCCCACCCTTACGTGCCCTTCCATAACAACGCCGTTACCATGACAGCGCAAATAACACCAACCTTTGCTCTTTCTGGACACCTTGTATACAGAGTGATTGAAAAATGCAATTTGTGATGCAGGTACATATAGTACAAAATTGTGTTGTATATTTAAATACGTACATACCACCAAAAACAATATAACTTACGTACACAGGTTAAACTAAAAAATATCATAACACTGTTAAATAGGAAAAAGCGATGGGCTTTGGGGGTGTAATGAAAGTCGTTGGTGGTTGGACATATGTTCCGTTCGTACAAATCAGTTTATGAACTAGGAAGAAGTCGTTTAACATTCTCAAATTCATTAGAAATGCACCGCTGAACCAAAATCATATTTTTACCAGGTTCGGCGTCATCTATAATTTGCTTTTCACATCGACTTAGTATTTGCGAAATGAATATTTCGTAAGAGTATTGAACTATTTTAGAAAGATTCTTAACTTTGGATACTTCTAGGTACAGCTCCTTTAACTCTGGAAATATTATTTCGCCGTTGGGTGCCATTAAGCCCTTCTTCTTCGAAATACATTCTACTAATTTATTAAAGTCAGTGTTAGAGTCAGGTGGAAGGTCCAATTTATCTAATTTGGCCATTTCATCGCGCTCTAAACTCAGTTCTACTATGCACTCTTCTTTATCCTTGTCTAATGATTGTTCATTGGTTTCCTAGATAATGGATGTTACCTAATAGTGATTTATTACATAGGTACTTACATTGCAAGTTACGGCAGCAAGCACAAAAGCTAGATATATTATAATCTTCATCGTAAGCAGAAACTTTACTCTGTGTATAGAGAGACTTGTTCTGTTCTATTCCAAACTGAACGTAGCTTTATCAAAAGGAATCTGAGGTTATCACTGGTAAGATACGTCAAGAAATTAGTGCGCGCGTTAATTTTATCACTTATCTATGAAATATAAATTGCAAACTCATTAAGGGTGTCGTTCACCAGACCGAAGCGCGGCGCAGCGCAGCGGAACGGATTTTATTAACGATCCCCGAGATCGTAGATCGTTTATAATTTTGTATTGCTGTCCGTCTGTCTGTTCTTCTGTCCGCCCGTCCGTCTGTCTGTCCGTCTGTCGGCCCGTCTGTCCGTGTGCACGATAACTTTGTGTAGAAACGTCCGATTGCTTTGATTATTGATACACAATATGTTCTTCAGGATATAAGAAAGGTCGCTATTGTTTTTCGACTACGTAGACTAACGGGCCAAAATGTTACGGCCCAAAAACTGCCCCAACCTCCAAAACGGGGTCTCTTTGATAATTCCTATGAATGTCCGGTTTTCTGCGGTAGTAAATATTCCTGAAACCTCAGGTAACTATGCAGATGAATAAAAAAAAATTGCGCATGCGCAACCCAACTTTTGTATTTGCGGAAATCCAATTTTTTATCTGTTAAGATATTTTAAATGAAATTTTGTACGTATTCACCTAAAACAAGAGTAAAACTGATGTCGGTAAAAAAATTTGTTTTGCGCATGTGCAATCCGATTTTTTGGCATCTCCGTTAGTTGAACCGAATTGCATGAAATTGCCGATTCAAAAATTTGTTTTACATGCTACGCTGATCTGGTGGGACAGATTCAATCCCTTAAGGTGTGTTGTAAAAATGTATGTGCCAAGATCTCAAGGATCCTTCGGTATTCAGTTGTATCGGATTTCTATTAAGGAATTTTAAGTAGTGATGTTAATAGACTGAGGTGGTATACAATAGTCAATAATAGCAGTAGATAACTATTTTATTCCTTCACCAAACCGTACAATTTTTTCATTACACAATTAATAAGCTTTACAGACTTTTGATTATAATCTTTACCAGTAGTATTCCGACAGTCCTCAATCGAGCTTTCTACTAATCTCCTTTGAGATGGCGATATGGCTTGATCCAACGTAAACAAATTTGATAAATAGATGCGCAAATTTCCAACGTCGATTATTCCGTGGTTATCTATAATCCCCTTCCTTTTAAAAATACAACCGTGAAACGCATTCAGCGATTCATTGTCTTCGGGTAACAATCCGTCCTGATCTTCTACATTCTTGAAGCCACCATCGGCGACGCCCACTTGGCGAGAGCATACTTTTCCGTCGACGATGTTGTCCAAAATAACGTCAGGGGTGTCGACGGAAATGCTCTCGGAAGTTCGAGCCTGAGCCTATAAACAATCCATGAATTAGTTAATAGGTCAAAAATGTGGAACAAACCTGAAATATTGCCACACAAACTCCAATCAGCACTATGATAACTTTCATTTTAATCAAAAGCAGTTTTAATACTCTTATTCGTGAATTGTATTGATATATTAACGTCTCGTAAGGAATATTTTGTAAAAATATGCGATGTTTTTCCTGATTGCAGCAATTTTTAAGTAATAATTACATCATTTACTTCTGCTTATCAGCATCGTACTGAGAAATAAGGTTTAAGGTTACAACCTTAATAATATCAACAGACTTGTTTACAGTAAGAAACGTATGTAATAGGGTTTTTATTCCTGGACAAAATTAACACATGGGTATATAACCACCCACAGTGTCAAATAATATTTATGTTACCTTTCAGAAATGAAACTATGAAACATGTAACATCGTAGAGACTAGTGCAGAAATGTGCATGACACGTTACGTAGATGTTCAATACCGCCCTAAGAACCCTGACAGTGAAATATTACAGAGACATCACAGAGAAATCACACCACGTTTGTTACTTAGTAGTATTGTCGGATACATTTCCGTCATAAGCACAGTTACACGCCTGTTTCGTCACACACAAAATGTAAACCGCAGAAACGTGTCCGGGCCATTTCATTAAAAACGTTTTTAAAAATTAGCCAACTTTGCATCAACAATAAATATTCCTACTACGTGACTTGGAATTAGGGGCGTTTATATGAAGAATGGTATATGTGTAATTAAATAAATTTGTTATTTATAATTGATTTCTATGTATTGTCCAAGCATGCTGTATATAATCTTTACAAGGAAAGGATATACATTCCTAACAAGTCGTAGTGGTACTCGACCGCAGAGGGCACTTCGTGTCAGAAAGTCAGTCGCATTCCAAGTGTTGAAGTTTGACAGTTTTTTTTACCTATTGTGACTTACACATGGTGGTACCAGAGAGCGAACCCAAGGACTACTCCCCAGCTTTGGAACCGTGTTAATGGTTCAGGTTTTTGTGTAGACGGCCACCAGGAATGGTGATGATCCTGTCACCGTAGGCGATGTAGTGGTAGATGGTGCAGGGCAGAAGTTTGAAATTTAATAAAATAAAGTATGCAGGGTGCTGCATCTAAGACCCACCTCTCGGATCGTAATTTCCTAACCATAAAAGCTATAGAAAAAAAATTAGGAGGTCTTGTCATTTAGAAAACTTTGTGCTCAGAGATATTACTCAAGGTTGTGCATTAGTGAGAACCAATTCTCCGTAGCTCATTATATGAATAAAATAATCTGAAAAAACCGTAGTCAAATTGCTACAATACTAAACTCGATAAAGGTGGCATTGAAGGACAGACTCGCGATCTTATCAAATTATTGATTTCCAACGCAGAATCGGGGTTAAGTATGCCCTAAACTAAAGACACCACCCTTAGGCCTACCCGTCGTCGCGAAACATCCACAATCTTTTGGGCTAGATGTTATTGGTTTTGTACGCCATTTTTCGCGGCAAACAAACATGGACACCCAGGAGTTGGCGACGCCGGATGTGTGTGTGGGGGGGGGGGTATACCTACTTCTTTTTCGTTGACTGAGCCTTAATTTTCAATCTACTTACGATCGAGCGCATAAATGGCAGTACTCGGCACCGATTGGCCACGGAATCGCGGACTGGTATCAGGACTGAAATTTCCTACGGTCGCAGTAAATATTCGAAAACAAATGTAAACCAGTTGAACTTTTATTTGAAACATTTCAATGTATATTGATGAAGTGATAAAATTAAAATATAAGTCAATTGTAAGAGAAGAAATCAAAAGGATCCCTTCAGCTAAGTACGTTTAATATAATTTGCTAAATGTTGAAGACGTTGCTACGTTGACGATGGAATTGTAAATTTTTATAAATTAGTAGATGGTTGTGCTGGAATTTTTACATTCGTGATCCTTCTTAATAGATCTCGATTCATTATCATAGTTTAGTTTGTAACGGGTGTCCCAAAATTAACGCAAGATTTGAATTTGCCGCCATTTGTGCTGTGAAGTGTTGGCAACCCTGAAAAAAAAGCAATTTGACAGCTAACAGTATAGGGTTATTAAAAATGGAGCGTTACACGATAGAACAACGTGTCTTCATTATTAAAGAATATTTCAAAAATAGTGAAAGCTTGGCGGCTACAGTTCGAAAATTTCATACAAAATATGGTCGGAATAGTGTTCACATTCGAACGGCTTGTTTTTGGACGACCAGTGTGTTTGGCGTCTCCAACGGATCCAGTCTCCATGAATTTTTCAATTAATCTCTTCACAGTTGACGAAGTTAAAACACTATTCCGACCATATTTTGTATGAAATTTTCGAACTGCAGCCGCCAAGCTTTCACTATTTTTGAAATATTCTTTAATAATGAAGACACGTTGTTCTATCGTGTAACGCTCCATTTTTAATAACCCTATACTGTTAGCTGTCAAATTGCTTTTTTTTCAGGGTTGCCAACACTTCACCGCACAAATGGCGGCAAATTCAAATCTTGCGTTAATTTTGGGACACCCTTTAGTTAATGATCTTGTTAAGCACACAACATCTGTAACAACATAATCTCTCGGAATAAATCAAAGTTAGCATACAAAACCATTTAAAAGCTAGTTCAAAAGAAGGAAATCGGGCGAGGGTGCAACGAATAGGTCCGTCGTGATTAGGATATAGGGGTTCCAATCATTTCTATAAAACCGCAAGTCCGTCCTTCGATGCACTCCCTTGCGGAGTATCAATTTTGGCACAGTTTGTTTAGATCATCAGTAACGAAAAATTGGTCCTCACCCATACAGTCCCTGAATCACAACCTTCTAATGACAAAAGCTTTTAATTTATGGAAAACCTGTTTCTTTATTGGTAGAAAATGCAATTTGACTATTATGGAACGCGCGTGCGCTTTCAAATAATTGCAGAAGGAGAAAATCTCTGCCACTGAGGATTTATGGGTGCATGTTTGTGTGGATTGTAAATAAAACGAGTTCATTATCAAAATGTTCCTAAAGGAATAAACATAATTGCTTTGTCCGTGTGCTACTTCAAATAAAAGAACTGGTAAACGACGATCACCAGAACTTTTACTTAGAATGCTACAGGACAACGTAAGAACTAGGGTCCTAACACTCTCATCTAGGAATCTAGGAGAAGGTGAGTGGTATATTAATCAATGGATTACACTAAGGCTCACCACAGTACCAATCGTGAATGGAATGATTAAGTGTATTTGAACATGGAAAAATGAAGCCTGAACCGGTCGAAACTAGCGAGTTACTCAACATAACGAGGATGGAAACCTTGGTTTTAATAACCAAACCATAAACACTTAAAATAAACGATAAACCGCACAATGTATTTGATCGAGAACTCAATAAATCTTTTTATCCTACAACCAAACTGTTACCATAAATAACAGCTTAATCTAATGTTAAAGAACTCTCAATAGACTATATTCAATAGGTAATGGTAGGTAATTAACTCTAAAAATACAAGGAATCATTGCATACCTAAGTGATAACCTTAGATTATGTGAGTTACCGAAAATTTTCAAGATGAGATGAGGTCAGAGTTCAGTAATTTGAAGTAAATATAATATTTCTGATAAAGCTGCTTGGTAAACATATTGCCAGTATTCCGTTGGCAACACTATAATTATACGCGCGCAGAATTCACCCACGATGAAAGTTGTAATATATCTGGCCTTATTTCTAACAGCTGTCGCTTGTAACGTAAGTCTTTCGATTGTATTTTCATGACTAGGCGATAAAAATTTTATTTATTTAGGAAACTCCCGCAAAGCCCTTGGACAAAGAGAAGGAGGAGTGTGTAGTTGAATTAGGTTTAAATCGTGATGAAATAATCAAACTGGATGCACTGGAACTACCAATTGACACTAATGCAGATTATAATAGATTCGTTGCATGCGATTCGAAGAAAAAGGGTTTAATGACAGCCAATGGAGAAATACTATATTCAGCAATAAAGAAGTTGTTATTGGAACTACCTGACGTCAAAACACTCCCTAAACTAGTGCACTCTGTTTACGCACGAATCATTTCCGACGCACTTAAGCGATGTGAAACGTTACCTTTGAGTGAAAAAGATCCCGGTAAAAATATGATTCACGTTTTCACGTGCATGTTTAAGGAAATGGATAACATTAAGGAAAGTATGGTCTGATGATATTGCTGCATTGTGTAATAAACCACTTTGATACACTGGGTTACAACCATTGCTATTTTTGCCAAAATGAAATTATTGTGAAACCACCCATTTTTATAGCTTTTTTTGTACACCTACCATGAAAGATAATTTTATTCTTTCTCCTCACCACCGTAATTCCAACTTCCCGTTCATTCCTAAACTTTCCACCCAAAATTCGCATTTTGTAGACGAAAAGGCTTTGAAACTCAGTGGTAGAGCGTTGGGCTACAAAACCGGAGGTCGGGTGTATAGCTATAGAACAACTTAAGACCTTCTGCAGGATCACCTCTAAAAAGCATTATGTGGGTCACTCTGTAATTGGGCGTAAGCCTGTTGAAGGCTTAGAACAAGAGGGACAATAAATAAATAAAAGCCAAAAACTTTGGGAGGGATAAAGACTAAGATAATGACATCTTAGACTAGCAAGAACGCAGGTTTTCAATAAATTGAAGAATTAAAGATTTTGTCATTTGGAAAATTTTATGCTCAAAGGTATGACTCAAAATCAAAATCGTGATTCAATGAATGCATTACTAATCGTTTGGCGTAACGGTTTAAGGCTCGGACTCTAACATCACAGATTGTGAGGTCGAATTACACAACTTCCCAGTTTTTAATGGAAATAATCCTGGAAATAATGAATATTTACCTTCTTTCACTAGGTACCTGTAGCTTGGTGCCCTACATTGCAACGTCCGATAGTTTTTTCGGCCCTTTTGTACGTGAGAAAAGCTAATGAGGTTTGTGTCCCTGCCTCACAAGTGATACGGTCTCCTCAAATCGCCCCCCCCCTCCTGGTTTGCGAATTGAACAGCAGCGCCCCCCTCTTGGCGACATTCCCTACATTGGGGAAAACCGTCTCAATGAACAAAGCGAAGACTCTGTCAAGGATCCAGGCTTTGATTCGCATCTCCTCTTCCCACAGCGTTCTCTCCAAGCCTTCATGAACAAAAGCAATTCTGAAACTGTAGCTGCTTCACTAATGGCTCTGGTATCCTTTACGGTCCAGTTTTTGCCTTTTTCGAGGTACTTCCCTTGGGAGTGCTGCTATCAGACCAGTGTTGCTTTGCGTCCCAGTCTTCAGTGCAGTCTCGGTGGGTGCGTTACCTGGTTATTGCTTAGAACTCCCAGGTTGCGCCCACTTCATCAGATGGGTGGAAAGAGGAGATATGGGTCACCGAGAGCCTCCTGGTTCCTGTCTCATCTTTATTAGCTTCCGGCGCGCCGCTCCGGAGAGTTTTTTGGGCTCTCTAATACCGGTGCTCTGGGAGTAGTTTGTTTTGATTTCTGTTTTTTCTTAGCCATAATAGTGCCACGAGTATGGGGGAAAGAAATGTCCACACGCGTCGTGCTCCCTACACACGTGTAAGGCGACTTAATGCAACGGTGTGGCGCCCGGTGCTCCGAAGTTGGGGCCAATAGTTGCTGATCATCTATTCTGCCACGCATCCACTTCGGCCCTCTGACCCTTGGAATTTAGGTTTTTACCATACAAAAAGACACGCTTCTGGATTCCGCAATGGATCAAAAGAAGAGATATATTGGTCCGATTAGCTACTAACACTGATGAGAAAACATTCAAGACTACCCCAAGTTTTCACTTTTTAAACAAACAAATGCACTAAAAACTCACAGTCGTATGCAAACACAGAGAGTACATGCTGATGCAACTAAGCTAAGAGGTGAGGCTACTGTGAAATGGACCTGGCCGCCCTCAACGAATGACTATTTGACCTATTGACGGTGGAGCTCCAAAATTAGACTTACTTATAAAATTATACTAGTAATTCATGGACAAAGATTAGTTTGTAATAAATAAAGAAAAACAAATTAGGGGCTACTCCAGAATAGACCTGGTCGCTCCCAGGATGAGACATCTATTTGCTCTTTTTAAGAGTGACGCTTAAAAATTTGCAATTACTTGTAAATGAAAGCTCTTAAATAGCTCGCAATTCATGCATACAAATTATTTGAAATAAGTAAACGATAACAGAGGAGGGGCTACGTCCAAGTGGAGCTGGCCGCCCCATCCCCCATCGATTATTTCTATTTGCTCTTTTGATAATGAACCCAAGCGAGAGTTGTATATAACGATCACCATGTTAAGCCGGTGACGCAGTGGTTGCGTAACCGACTGCTACTCGGGAGGTTATGGGTTCAATTCCCGATGCATACTGCTCTGCCTGGGGTTTTGTGAGAAGGTTAGACGAACGTGCATACCTTCGCATAATATGTTGAACTCTATGAGGCCAATGCTGGAGCAGTACTCTTCTTTCTCAGCACTCTAACTCCATTCCTTCCGTTCCCATCCTTAACTTTACCCATTCTTACATTCCCGTTCTCTGGCTGAAGAGGGTTAGGAAACCCAGACCGGTTTCCTCGGGGGGGGGGGGGGGTCGGAGGAATGAAACACGTTGACCTGTAAGAAGTCATTCCATTTTCGGAACGCAGAGTAGAAATTGCTCTAAAAACTAAGGTAGGTATTTAAAATGTATGGTTCTCCTTGCTTTTTTGTAATAAATATCAGTGGGGTATTATTACAATTTGGAGGAGAGTTGCCAGGCGGGAGCAGCAAATGAATTTTATACCATTTTTCAGTCGCTAGTTTGCGTAAGTTTCATACCAACTATCAAACTTGGTTTAGGTTGCCAAATCTTAATTATAAGTAATAGAAATAATTAGGCAATAAAAAAAGTTTGCCGTTCAGTAGTTCTTACTTTGCTTAGTTTATTAGCGTATTACTTCACCACAAGAAAAGATCCACAAAACAGTTGATATGAGATATCTTCCCCTCATATTTCAATTAGGAACAAGTATCAATAAACACCAATTACGACAATTTGTTTAATTACTCTTCTTAAGTTTATTTTTTATGTACTTCAAACCGCAGTTTCGGCGTTTAATCGCATCAAGCGCTCGTGGCGAAACTTTTACTTGACTGTTGCAGTGATCAAACGCCTCAAGAATCAGGGTGGTACTGATATCGTCACCAAGACGTTCAACTATGTAGACCGGTTTATTGTTTGGCACACGTTCAAAGTGGACTTCGCCATTCTCATCGTACATACCAAGATCTGACATGAGGCATTCGTAGAATTGTATAAATGGACCATTATCTTCTGGAAGTTCATCCTTTGACATATGCTCATTCATTTGATTAGATAGAACTCCATTTCTTTCTGCACATGATTCGGTTATGCGCGTTATCATCGTTGCTATGTCAGCATCTGATGATACCTAGGTTTGTTTTAAATTATCGTCTCTTATTTTCTTACCATGTGTACACTTACCTGATGGACGATGAACAAAATACAGGCAACTAGTAGTGGTTTCATTTTCTCAACACGTCTAGAACACAAATAAAGCTATTCTCAGTGTCCGTCATTTATAAATAGATGTCGATAAGATTCTTATCAAAAGACATTGGTAATAATTGTTAACTTTATTTTTTTTTACATTATTTGCAGTTAAAATTCTTTCTAGTCCTTCAATCATGCGGTCACACTTGCATTTAAATGTCAAAAACCTGTTCTGATGAGAACTCGGATACAATAATACAAGTCACTGACTTAAGGATCGTATATCATGTCCATGAACTTGGCAGGCCTACTACAGCAGACCATGGTTCTGCTTACTCATATCGTTAGTGTTCCGTTAGTGCACGTTAGTGCCGCTGAAGAAATCGTTAGTGCACAAAAGAACACTTACTATTTTAAAATAGTATATTAAGATACAAGTGTATAATCAAGTCTTTAAAGCACGCGCAACGAGTTTAAGGGCACGACGCAAAGCGGAGTGCCTTTAACGTTGCAAGTGCTTTAAAGACCAATTATACACGTGTATCTTATAGTATTTTTTATTATACCTGCAGTATAATTTAAAAATAGGTAATACAATGAAGTCATATTGACGTTATACTCGAATACATGTTTAATTAAGTGGGCTGGGTGTTCGTAATTTCACGATTGCCATGGAAATGTCACTTGACGTTTGCTTATAAAAATCATCGTCTTTGTGAATTAAACGATTTCCATTGAAAAAGATAATACACCGTTCATTAAATCGCTTGTAAAATCTAAACAAACGTTGGTAGGTGTAAAATCCAACTCTAGTAAACCCTATTATAAAGAATATGAAAAGTTGTTTCCATGGATGAATAGGAAGTTACTTACGAATACAGTCTTAAATGAATCGATAATGCTGGCATACATGAAGGAAATGTCAAAGGTATTTAAATCTTCTATATTTTGGTGCATTCATTCAAAACTTCCAAGCAATGTTGCGATTAAAAAGTGGAACAGATTTGGAAGCATACCCTAAATTACGCGCGTTTGTGAAAGCTTCAACCAAAGGATGGGTACAAAAGCCAAAGAAATGTTCTGCATTTACAGAAAGCGACCTAAGAGAATTTTTTATTTCATCCAGATGACAGTTTCAAAAGTCATACTTGAAGTATCGTTACTTAGCAACTTTAAAGCACGTGTGTTTTAAAGGCCTTTTTCGCACGCATTTGAGTGTTTAAAACGGAGATTGTGATTCAGGTATAATAAAAAAATATTTGTGGGCCTGCTAACTTCATGCCAGCAGACCCATTTGAGAAAATCGATTCAATCTTTACACTAGTTAAACTAGCAGCGTTAGTGCTCGTTAGTGCCGCCAATATAAACGTTAGTGCTCTAAGTGTACCAGCTCAAAACGTTGTAAAAAGGGGTCTGCTAATTTCACGCAGCAGCCGCACATTTGTCAAATTGGCCCTGTCTTAATGCGAATTTGAAGCGGCTCGTTAGTCCTTCACATCCGAACGTTAGTGCTGCAAGGGATCCGCATCAAAAAGGTTCCAAACCACCTCAAAATTAAACGTGGCTTGTTAGGACCTGCCAACTACTGGCGTGAAGTTGGCAGGTCCCAATAAGTCAAGTTTAATTTTGAGGTGGTTTGGTACCTTTTTGGTGTGGATCCCTTGCAACACTAACGTTCGCATGTGAAGCACTAACGAGCACTAACGAGCTGCTTCAAATTCGCATTAGGACAGGGCCAATTTGACAAATGTGGGTCTACTGCATGAAGTTAGCAGACCCCTTTTTACAACGTTTTGAGCTGTTACACTTTGACCACTAACGTTTATATTGGCGGCACTAACGAGCACTAACGCTGCTAGTTTAACTAGTGTAAAGATTGCATCGATTTTCTTAAATGGGTCTGGTGGCATGAAGATAGCAGGCCCACAAATATTTTTTTAAAAATAGTAAGTTTCCTTTTGTGCACTAACGATTTCTTCAGCGGCACTAACGTGCACTAACGGAACACTAACGATATGAGCAAGCAGAACCATGGTCTGCTGTAGTAGGCCTGCCAAGTTCATGGACATTCGTATATCACCAGAGTTTGTGATTGGCACATAAAGCGCGCTTTCTAAGAGTATACAGGGGGATAGGGAGGGGGACATTGTCAAAGGAGCGACGTGCGTCATCAAACAGAATGGATGTTTTCAGAAAGTGTAGTTTATTTCTTCGGAAGTTTTTGAATGGCTGGACCGCCGAATGAATCGTTGTTATTGAGCAACACCAACTCTCGTGGGTAGATCTCAATTGGTTAATTCTGTCTGGGACAAATGTTAGCAACGTTGATTTCTTGAAATATCCGCACTAGGTTTAAACAATATGTTGATATTATTTATGTCCTTAGATAATAAATTTTATTCCAGACACATTGGCAACGTTAATGATACAAATGTTTTTCTTTGGTCTGTTCTATAAGTGTTTATCTTATTATTACCATTTCAAAACATACATTATAATCAGTATTTTTCATTGTTATCGCAACAAAAACATTTCCAACTTTTACTTTCGGGAATGCCTTTCTGGTATACGTTTTGGTTGACAAGGTACCTAGGTAAGAAGTGTGCATAAAAAGTAATTAGGAATATTAGTATCAACAAAAAAAAAACCTTCACCATGAACGGAGGTACTTTTGTTTATAAAGGTACCTGGTTATCAATTGTAACCTCTAACCCACGTTGCTATCTGAATGTGATAACATGGGTGTATAAAACAGACAAAATTTTCCAGGACTCACAGTGCAGTGCCTTTTGTATCAATAAACAACATGAAAGTCGCGCTTCTCATTCTTTTTGTTGCTTGTGTGCAGGTAAGTTTAGTATCATTAAGGGCAAGATGACTATTTATAACCATTAGGCAACTTCGCCACCATTCTTTCCCAAGGATGAAATTGAAAAACATACTGGCCATTGCATCCATGATCACAAACTGGATAAAGATCATATTTCAAAAATATTTAATTCGGAAACGTACCCGGAAGATGATAAAGATTTTTCAACTTTCTATGATTGTTTCATAGATATGCTTGGCCTGTACACTGTAGATGGCGAAATCCATTTTGAACACCCTATCTTTATAGCATACGTACAAGAAAAACTAAAATTAGCTGACGCTGCCGGCGAAGAAGACCACATCCGCGACGCTGTGAAGCACTGCATCGCCGAGTCACCCAAGGTGGAACCTAGGGTACTTAATCTAATAAGACGGCGGAATTGTGGTGTTAAATATTATAAAAGCCATGCACACTAAAGTATAAGTCCTATCTTAAATACTTATGCACTTTCTTGTATTTGTAATTGTATTGTGCGTTAGTCTCTTTACTCGAAGATTTAGCAACTATTTGTAAATGGTGTATCCCTAAGATAAGCACTAGTTTGTGATTAAAGTCTATACACACATGAATGGCAAAGCCGTATTGATCCTTCCTAACCATAAATTCAGATTGGAAGCACTGGAACTAGTTCTGACTGATGAACTTGCAAAACTAAAACAAAAACACCAATAAACGATAATATATATTTTTGTGGTTTATTGGTGTTTTTTTTTTACTTTTGCAACAAATTCAGATATAAAAGGTGAACTTTAAATGCAAAAAATTAAAATTATGTTAGGTATAGGCACAGACAACTAGTATATGTTGTCTGTGGTATAGGTAACTGAGCTTCCTGGGACAGGTTTCCTATATATTTTTTTCTACGAAAGTGTAGAAACACGATTGTTTTTGTAGGTAAATTGATTGTGAAAACAGGTCTTTGAAACACTAGTGCGGCAATAGTATATTGAAAGACGAGTGTTACAATGCGACCTATTGTAATACGACTATCTTGTGGCACGAGTGGCGACGCGAAGCGTAGCCACGAGTGTCCGCAAGATAGGAGTATTACAATAAAGCATTGTAACACGCGTTTTTCATACTATTTTTTCTATTTCGGTGCTTTAATTTAATTAAAAAAATCATTATCAGAAACTATAGGGAACATTAGAACTAACATGTTTTATGTTGGGAACACTTTTTATGCCGTTAAGTTTTAGGTTGGCAGCGTAGTAAGACTGACATTTTGAAGTTCAAACATGGAAGTACCCAACACAGTACCTACTTGTACTAACTAGTAACTGCCAACTTAAGAGATGAGTTACCAAAAAAAACCGACTATAATCACTGTCTTTGTACAACTGTTTTCGGCCGAAAAGTGTCAAATGCGCGAAATAACTTCGCGCTAGCGTTATATACAATATTTTTTCTACAACTGAACCGATTGTTAATTAAATTGCTGTTTAAGTTCAACTTTGTTCCGTGCGCGAAATATTTTTTTTCACTGTTGACGATTTCGCGCACGTTGTCAAGAGCAACCTTACTTATTAATTAACCGATTAAAAATCTAGTACTTCGCGTTTCGAAATCCGTCAGAAAATGACAGGTTTTTTTGACAGTTGTAGAAAAAAATATTTTCTGCACGCATTTTCTACACGCTAATAAACATATGCGAAGTAACTCTTTGTAATTGTATTGCTTTATTCACAGTTTCGTTATATAAGACAGGCAATGGTAGAATTTTCTTTGCCTTCTGCTACAGAAAACGTTCTTGGGACATGATTCTTGGAGTCAGGAATCGTTAGGTATCAATAAAATTGCATCTTGTTCTGTGAAATCCGTTACAGTCATTTTACAACGTTCGCTCCGACGGCAAGCTCCAGCCACTCCAAGGACGAGAGCAACCTGTAATTAAATTATGCTTATTTATGATTTAAAAATACAATAAGAAATTCACAAAACTTCATCATTACAAATGTTTCATCAGGCGCTTCTCTCAAAAACTTAGCGATTTGTTCTCTTATGAAAACGCTCCTTTCCGAAACGCTGCTTAGACTTTTGGGGGTAGCAATTCATGCGAAACCGCATTAGCCATTTCCGCAACGTCCGGCGGGGTGCACATACCTTCTTCATCTTCAGTTTCGTCAAAATCTATCTTAACACTTCTTCACTACGCCACAAATTGTTTGACTTAAATTTACGATTTTTCAAACAATTATGTTTTGTCATGGCAACCGGCTTACTGGATCATTTACAATTGAAACATCCAACTACGATCAGACTATACGATTTTTTGTCGTTATTTGGCTAGTTGAAATTTCTAATTTCTAGAGAAGAATTTTTCACTTTCGTAGAAAAAATAGTATGAAACACGCATGCCGAAACGGTCATTGAAAAACTCGTATAATAGGAACACTCGCTGGCGCTCGTGTTCCTACATTTATACTCGTTTTTCAATAATACCGTTTCTGCACTTGTATTTCAATGTACTATTTCCGCTACTTCCCTAATCGGAAAATAGTTTTACTCATGATTACAGCTACGGTATAAAGACTAGCTGAATCGTCCGCCATATTGGAGTCAAACCAGGGTAAAATAACATGAAATTGTAAGACAAAACAGTGATTTTTAATCTTAAACAAATAAATACTTTATTCTTGACAGAATGAAGGTTGCATCGTTCTATTTTTCACGTTCAATAATATACACTCAAATATGTACACGATGTTAGTTATTTTCCACAAATAAACAACCAGTTCATTTATATATTTTTCTTATTCAGAAAAACTAAGCAAACGAACAAATTCTCTCTCGTGATAACCATATTTTTCCCCCACTTATAACTCATCACAAAATGTACCAAAAACCATAGAATAGTTAAATGCGCGAACGCCATTTCAATGTGAATTTTAAAAGTTTTTAACTATCGATCACTTCTGACCTTTCGTCTTCTTGGAAGATTGTGTACTGTCACAGGGGACATAATAATCTTGCAAAGGGCGTGGCCTCCCCCTAACGTTCCGTGGCACCCGCGTCCTTAAAATCGGTGCCATCATCGTCGTCGGTTACTGAGTTTCGGTAAACCTTCACCTGGGATACATGTGCTGTCGTTGAAAAGTTTCGCACGCCCTCTGCATCAATATTTCGTACTCGGTTGCTGTCGTTTCCCAAGACTTCGGCTACTACGACTACGTATGACTCCTTGTACTTACGTTGGGTTTTTACAGGTTCTCCTGTGTGCTTTGGTGGGTCCCTCATATACACGATATCACCTACTCGAAACCCTTCATGCTCGTAATGTTTCCTGTCGTACCTCTCGTTGTATTTTCGTTGCTCCGCCGTGACCCTTTCCAGAATTTGGTTAGGAACGTTCCCAGGATTCTGTGGCTAGTCGTCAATTATCGTTAATTCCCTGATCGTTTCGAACGTTTTCGGGTAACAGGTGACAAATTGCCATACCACGATGGAAACCGAACTTTGCAAGAGCATATTGCATGAAAGGGGGATTTTCCGTCGTTCTTTCAAAAAGCTACCACTACAATTTGCGTAAGGATGGTGGGTTTCTTAACTGACAAGTACTATACTCTTTCAAAAAGGAGTACCTGTACCTCAAAATGGGGCGGACGTGCACTTTTTCATGCACAATGAAGCACTTACGATTGGCACAAACATTTCGTTGGTGCTTCCAAAAGTGGTGTGAAGTTGGCTCGGAAAAAGCGGCTACCCTGTTGTACCCCAAATAGAGGTGTGTTTAAATATTATTATTGTAAATCCTTGTGGGTAGATTTACATACACAAAGATAGTTACTCTTGTGCATGCAAAACACCATTAGGGGTAACAGTTACAAAGACATACTAACTATCCTTATAAGGGGTGTCGCCCATTTACAAAAAATTAATAAATGAAATATTGGTGTTGTTTTTTTATTTCCCGCGCGTTTTGACGGAAAGACATGTTTTGAAGCACCAGGAATGAAACAAAATCTCGACGATGTCGGTCTGTCTGCCTGTACTCTCATTTCCGACTAAACGGGTGAACCGATTGGAACTAAACTTGGTACACATATTCTTAGACATGAAAGAAATAGCTGAAAAGCTTTTGGGCAGAATGCACATGGGCAGGTGTGTAGGTGGTACGTGTGCTATCCACAGCAAATTTTTTTAGTTTGAATTTAAATAATAAGATCCATTGCAATTGCAACCTATACGAATGCTCGTTACTTGTGTGCACGTCATCAGTTATCCACCGGTCTGTGTTACCAGTTTTCCTGTTTTTTACTTTATCAGTCACAAGGGCCAACAGCACTAAGATTTTTCGAGATTTTCAAATGTAATGTTAAACTAATTAAGTTCTCCTTATTTATCATTTAGATACAAGTTCATTACTTGCAAAAACACTACATTTTGTGCAATATAGTCCGATATGTATGTGCAAATATTGTTGCATGATTTAAACTCTGAAGCAACTTTTGTTTATTAAAGATGGATTTTGCAATTTACAGATAGGTATTCAGTCATGCTCGCAGCTTAATTAGCCTACAACATGTCGCAAATCTGCTACATTGAACTAAATAATATATAATACAATTTTTGGTTTATAGCTCGACTTATACACCAAATAAGGGAGACTTCCTTTTAGACTACTTTTGGAAGCATACAGTGTAAACTTGAATGCCTTAGGGAAGAATGTCGTGAGAAGGATTCATGTTGTATCTGGCAAAGATCGACTTCTCCGTATTGATAACTGAGAAGGGAAACCCGGACACCTCCTGCATGTTCCATTCACCAATTCTTTCGTATCAACCGCCGATTAACTTCGAACGCTTTCTCATAATCATTCGAAAGGGGAAGAACCATCTTTCGCATCTTCCATAGACCAGCGCTTAACTTCAAACGCCTTTGTCGTATCAATCGCTGCTTAGCATCCACCGCCTTATAGCCTAGAGAGGGGAAGCGAATAAATTGCTGCCCATCTGTAAATAAAGTACCTACACATGAAATATGTAAAACATCTAGCGAACTACTTACTATAATAGGTACTATTGTGGTATAAGCCGGCCCGTGTGGCTCAGTTCAGTTAAAGCTGGACTGTGGTGCTAAGGCTCCCTGGTTCGAATCCGGGTTCGGGTATGGACATTTGTAAATGTGTAATGAGTTGGGTTGGTAGAGCAGCCTTGTCTGAAATCCCGCCCACTCAAAATTAAAGGCAAATTAACATAAAAATAAATAATTTGAAACACATGTCTAGTTGTACAACATTCTGTAATGTTTATTAAACCGTGGAAAAATAACATAACCTCTCAAGAAATTGAACTCAGGAATGTTAATGTTACGCACACTTTAACCAACTTAATAGTAATCATGCAATTCGGAGTAATATAATATAACCTCACATTTCGACGGAATGAACTGACGAATTTAGGATTGTCCCGCAATTTTTATTGTTGAAAAAACCGGATGAAGGTGCCCTCTAGCCTTGTTAGTAATTTCATGATCGTACGTGGGGAACTTATTAGCGTCACGTAACTCAGGGCCGTTTTAATAAATATGAGTGGTGAAACCAAAGAATTAACTGCTAGGTAGTAACCTAATCGATCATAATAGTGTCTTTGACTATTGTATCTCAGGGGATATTAAAACACACTTCCACAATTTTGTCTTTTAAAGATTCTAT